AAGGAGTGGGCTCGTCTTAAAGCTATGCACTGAGCTAGGGACCGTGAAGGACAGTGGGATGCATAGCCAAAGGGGCGTCTTGGAGCCTAAGAAGGTTTTGGGAAGACTATTTGCAGACACCAGACACCCTGAAAAAAGAATTCGCAGGCAAGTCTCAAAGTAGGCCTGGTCATGAGTTGGCAGCCACTCAAGGCCGCGGCAGAGTCAGGGGGCCTTTCCATCAGGCCTGATTACAACCACTCACAGTCCTGGCAAACTGCAGGCATTAAGTGCCAAGTACCTACGGGGGTCCGAACCACCCACAGAAGCTGCCCTATTCACACTCACCACATCCTGGCAAGGCGGGGGCGGTCTCCTACGACCACAAATGGACAAACTGAGGCTCAGAGCCACCTGACTGCCAGTCACTGGCCGTGACAAAACTAGAAGCTCAGTTTTTGAGCCTAACCCAACTCCTAAGGGTTGGATTCTTTCCACTAGATACTTCCCATGACCTGGTCTAAAGACAGGCAAGGGAGGAGGATTAACAAAAAACACTCCTGCATGTAAATGTAGCCCCAAGATCTCATCTTCTCATGTGAGGAGGGCACAGCCCAAATTCCAGAGTGTTTCCCGGCTAGAAAAAGGCCTCCACTTCGGGACTGATGCAGAAAGATTCCATCCACCCTGAAGCATTGGGGTCATTTCCAGCTCTATTTTCTCTCCTTGTCCCCGTCCACTGCCTGCTGTGTCTCAGAAAGAACTCTCAAATCCTTCCCCTTCCCCCACCCCCTTTCCCAAACACCACTGCCTTCATTCAAGCCCACACCACCTCTTCCTGAACTACCACCATAGCTTCTCCAGGTTACCATTCTGTCATGCCAACAATGGACCTGCTCTTGATGCTCCCCAGCTTAAAAATCTCCTTGTTTTCTCTTATCCCCAGGATCAAGTGAGAACATCTTAGTCACACAGGGCCCTTTAGAAATTGGGGTCAGCCCCAATTTGTCCTCATTTCCTATTGTTTCTCCCCAGGCACCTGCCGTACCAGGCACATCAAACTTTTCTGTGTTGCCCCCGTGCCTTTGCACATGCTGTTCTCTCTTCCTAGAATATTCTCCCTCTAATATTGTCTCTACCCAGAAAACTGGTATCCACCCTTCAGAACAGAGTTCAAATGCCCTCTAACTCCAGCACAGTCCCATATTCATGGCTCTACTATAGGGCTTCCTTGAATGGCAACCATCATTCACATATTGTCTGTCTTATTAGACCAGTGGTTCTCAACCCCGGGGTGATTTTGTCTCTCGGGAACATTTGGCCATGTCTGGAGACATATTTGGCTGGCACAACTTTCGGGGAGGGTGCTACTGCATCTAGTGGGTAGAGGCCAGGAATGCTGCTAAACTTCCTACAATGCTCAGGACAGCCCTCCTCACAAGAATTATCCAGCCCTTAGTGTTAATAGGGCCAAGGCTGAGACACTCTGCACTAAAATGTGTGTCTTCTGAGGTGAACTTTCATTTGTATCTTTTTAGTGCTTGGCCTATGGCGGTATCCAGTAACTTTTTTTTTTTTTTTTTTTTTTTTAATAAATAAGTGAACAGATGAATAGTTTTATATACTCTCTATCTGTAGCATGTGGGTCACTTTGAGACCACCACATTAAAACTTAAGAAAGCTGACTGATAGTGAACAAGTCTGTTGAAAAGGATAGAATAAAATGTGTATGTGAATCAAAATTGGCTTTCAATGCAGGAAAGGACTGATATTAATTAATTGGAGTGGATCTCAAGTTAGGCATGAAGATGCATCACTGGGGCACTTCTTTTTTTAATTAGACAGGGGCCTATGATTGAGAAGTACTAGGTAAATTCCTCCAACATGCTCACACAGCAGGAGTTAAACCCTTAGTAGGCTTCACAGCCTACACAGGACCTGGCCAACTTAGAGATGGTACGGACAGAACCAGTAAACATGATCAAAGCTCCAGACACCTAGGCTGGGTGAATAAAAGCAAAAGGAGTTGATATTATTTGATCTCAAGGAAGTGGCAGCTGAGGTGTGTCCTAGCAGCTATTCTCCAGTAACACAGGAAGTTGCTACATAGAGGGAGTGACCAGCTATTTTTTGGAGCCCAGAACCCAAGAAGAAGAAGCTGATGGGGGGAATGGAGGTTAAATGCTTTCTAGATGGAGCAAGTAAGTGAAGGAATGACAAGGCCTCATGGGGGCTTATTGCTGAGGGTTTGAGAGGACTCTGTGCTCCTTGCCTTTTCCTTAGATAATATCCCTACTTCATAATAAGCACTGTTGGAGAGCTGGGGAGAGGGCTGTCCAAGCACCAGGCCTTGCTTCTAGAACTTTCTTATGAACTGGGAAAGCAGGAAAGACAGGAGGAGCCTGAGAGATAGAGGGCAGGAGTATCGGGCAAGGAAAAAAAGGGTGAGAAAGAAAGAGAAGGGAAAGCAAGAGCAAAGAGGCAGCTGGAAAGACATAAGGAAAATGTCGGGGCCTCAGCATCTGGAAAACAGACTGGGGGCTATATTTAGACTGCCATGACTTGCAATAATTTGTGTGAGGGGGAAAAAAGGAAAATGTGAAGTTGGCGTCGTTTTGGGGAGGGAATGAGTTACAAGAAAAGGATGGTTGATAGGGGAGAGCGGTGCAAAGCCTCAGTCTTTGGACCTTAGGAAAGGGCGTCGGAACAGTGCCGGCTGTCAGGAGTGAGCGATGGTGTTTATTCAGCCTAACGCAGCTCATGCCCCCAGCCCCAGATGGGCCCCGGGCTCCCCACCAAGAACGTGGGTGCATTCCTGGGCATGCCAGGCGGCCCGTGTGCCACAGCACCAAGACGTGTCTGTGATGATGCAGCGTGTTCTCTGGGGAAGTGAGGGCCGCGCCAGGGACTCCGCATGGGGGCTCAGGGCTACGTGAGCAGCGCTTTGCAAATCCTAGGAATTTGTATACATTGCCGAGGCCTTTCTCCAGCTGGATTATAAATAGAGGATTAGTTCAAAGGCAGGCAGCCTTTTAAAGAGATGGTGCCAAGTGAAGCCTGCAAACCAAATACAGTAAAACCTCCTTAAGCCCCTATTGGTTTATTCCAAATAGCATATACGTCAAAGCAACAGCATTTCCCTGGCTGAGTAGGTCCCTTCTTTTCTTTTAGGGAAAAATCTAGAGGTTCAAATGGAGCTTTATGGTAAAATCTCAGTTACTCAGAAAGAAACATAAAATTCTAGATTACTGGAACTTTCCAACTAGCTAAAGATTTGCCCTTTGAAACATTACATTTAAAAATGTAATTATTTTGGATGCAAGTCTTTATAAAAAAAAAAGTCACATACTTCCCAGGTTTTAAGATAGGATACACTGATCTTAATTTAACATTTTTGTTCTGCTTAGGGTCATTTTCATAAACTCAGTTACTGTGCTATTTATTATTCCAGTAGTGCCAAAACCTTTGAGGTATGTGTAGTCATTTGTCTCTATTCTAAGTCACTTCAAATCACTATGCATTTGGGGTTTCTAGGTCTACTTTTTATCAGGGAGCGTGTCACTTTACCTGTAGTGAACTCATGACCTAACTTTTTCTTAGTCTCTTCTAAGTTGAGAAACCAGATAGGCAAACTCATTAAAATTCTGTGTAAATATAAAGTAAATAGATTGTGAGTGAGGAATTTAGCCTTTTCTATCCTTATAGGATTTATCCAGTCTCTCTTAGAGGGTAATAGTTCATCCAGCCCTCTGGGGACAGTTGCTTTGAATTATATGCTACTTTAAATAAACCAATATGAGCCTACACAGATAATTTTGGCTGCTTAGACGTCACTTGGCTCATCTCCAGGTTCTGGTCTGATTTTAGATAGTGAGGTGTCTGGGAAGTTGTGTTTTGGGTAGATGAAGCCTTACTATAATTTGAAATCTATGTTCTCAAGGCCTTTCCTTGCATTTGAGTTAACTGTGTTGTTTTCTTGTTTTTTTTTTTTTTTTTTGCCTGCCTATCTTTGAGGCTGGTAGTGTGATTAAACTGAGCACAGGAAAAAGACAATAAACAATGATCCCATCCTCTTGTTAATTAATGTCTCATTTTCTATATCCTGGAAGATGGTGGGGATTTCTGGGCAGGATGCTGAGCAGATGAGCCACATGTAGCATTCAAGAATGGAAGGATAGTGACTCAAAGATATTGGGTTGTGTGTTGATTCAGGGAAGCCAGTAGAAACTGGGTAATCAAAATGGATGAAAACAGGCCAAGCCAACCTGTGAGGGCCAAGGTCCTTGGGTTGTTTTTGGCATCTTCTGGTTAAGCAGGGAAATTCTGTCTGTGGTTATAAGATTTGGTGCTTTGTAAAGCCCTCAAATGGCTGATCTCTCATCAACAAAGATCAGACATTACCTACAACAAAATTAGGCTCCAACAGAGGAAGCGACTTTATATTCTCCTAGGCCAACAGGCCAAGAGGTGACTCTCAGAGGCCCTGTAGGCCGGGCCTCGCAGCAGGCTCACATTATTTCAAAGGTGTCCTGTCTAAGAGCCCAGGGTCAGACTTATTTTGTTCTCAGACCATTGTGGCCAGCCTGCCCACATGCTGATCTGAAGGAAATCTGCCCTAAATAGCCATGTTCCAGAGCACATGCCCCATGTCCTCTCCTCACATGACATGTCCTCTCCTCACATGGGCACTGGACCCCAGTGTGACCCACCAGTGATGACCAACGAATGGGTGGCCTGGCTCAAAAAGAGGAGTTAGGCTAAATAAATCTTGTCAGGGGACTCTAGAGTTGAAACTGGACAGATTAGGCCCATTGATACTGGGCAATAGCATTGAAAATGTAGCTATAGAGTGGGGACCAAAGGTCTGTCTGTAAGCCAACCTTATGGGGACATGGAAAGTTGGAGTAAGAAGTGGAGAGCAGAGGTTCAGAGAGAGAACATGTAGAACATAAGGCAGCGAAGAGACAGATGTCTGAGTTCCTCACAGCTCGTCGGTTCCCATGAATCCCGGTTACACTCACGTTCCTGGAGCAGGCCTTCATTCTTTGCAACAGAGACGTTCATCTAAGACTGCCGCAGTCTCTATAAAACAGTTGCTCAAATGCCAGGAGATCGAGGCTAGATCCATCTTCCTATGTCCTCCTCTAGCCCGAGGAATTCCATGTCTTTAACTTTCTCCCAGAGGACACATTTTTCGAAGGCTTTAATCCTCCTGTGTTCTTTCTCTGATCCTGCCTAAAGATTTCCAAATCCTCCATGTCCCCTTGCTCTAACCGGGGCCAGTGTCGCCACTGGGGACGGCCAGGATTGATTGTAGTGCTCACTGCACTTCTGGTCATCAACCCTAGAAGTGCACTCTGCTTGATTTCCTAATGACAGAGCTGTCCTGCTAACTGACACGCAAATATGCTTCTCACCTAACCCGAAACCCCCCCAGGGTCATCGCTGTTACAAAATGTCAGTGCAGGAAGGGGCTTGGAGGTCATCTAGCACAACCCTGTCATTTTAGTAATGAAGTAACTGTGTCCCAAAAAGGCTACATAACTTGCCCAAGGTCAGGCAAAGTTGAGTAACTTGCTTTTTTCTCATGGTGTGAGTGCACACGTGTGTGTGCTTTTGCTGTTACTAAGCTTTATCCCACTAGGTTAAAAATTCTTCTTCGGGCTTCAGAGGGCATTTTGAAGTGTGCATATTCAGATTCGAATGTGATGTTTGTGGTGCTTCAGGACCGATGGAAGCCAGTGTAGAGATGTTCCGCAGAGCTCTGTGTAGGCCTGGAGTAGAATGTACCCACAAATACTCATCTTCTGGGTGACTGACTGGTCTCCAAAGTAGGATATGTGCAAGCTGATTTGTTGTAGTAAAGGAAAAAGATTAGAATATCTATTTTTAAAAAATTTGTTGTGTTTTACAGTGTCCTCAAATTTTTTTTATTAATAGGTGTGTGCAATCAAGACTAACACATAGTTCACTTTCAGAACTGATGTTTAGAAAAGCACCACATAATACAATGTGGTGGGGAATATATGTATTCACCCTTATTCTGTCTCATGCAATTCCACTAAGCAGGTAGTACTTGAACTTCAAAATTGGAAACTCATTAAGAATACAAATACATTTAATAACATTAATTAATTATTCCTAATTGTTCTTTTTTTAAAAATATCTCTTAGAAATGAGAAGACTCTATTACTTTTATGATATAAAAATGCTTTTTTTCTTAAATCAAAAGCCATGGTTATTTTTTTAAATTTTATTCATTTATTTATTTTTAGAGAGAGAGGAAGGAAGGGAGAAAGAGAGGGAAAGAAATATTGATGTGCAAGATAAACATCAATCAGTTGCCTATTGCATGCCTCTAACCGGGAACCTGGCCTGCAACCCAGGCATGTGCCCTGACCAGGAATCGAACCTATGACCTTTTGCTTACTGGGATGACACCCAACCCACTGAGCTACATCTGTCAGGGCACTGTGGTTATTCTTAATGGTGTAAAATTAAAGGCATTCTTATTAAAAGTAGAGGTAAAATAAAGATGTTGGCTATTACTTTTACTATGTAGTTTTATTATATAACAACCATTTGGCTGTTTCATCCAATGCAGTAAGACAGACATGATATAGAAATGAGAAGTAAAACTCCTGGAATCAAGATGAATAAATTTAGGTTTCAGTAAAACAGATTAAAGTAAGGCATAAATAAAAACCAATACTGAAGCAAATTATGTCAATGACCTTCAATGATCCAAGAACAGATGTTTCTTCATATTTATAATTTTAATGCTGGAAGAAATCTTAAATATGTACTTGATGAACAGTTAAATGTCATAAATAAGTTCACTTTTAAGAAAAATGGCTTTTTCTTTATGTATAAGGCTTGAGGCACCATAAGTCATTGAGAAAGAATTTTATTCAGCAACTAGAACTGAGACAAATTAGAGATTTGAGCAAAAAATTAATTTATAAACTCATTGCACATCATTTCCAATTAAACTCCATATGGTTTAAAGAGTTAAATGTAAAACACAATAAAAGGAAATCAAATAGATTTCTAAAAGAAAATATAGGTGAACAGATATACCTAAGCCCTAGATGAGGAAGGACTGTAAACTACAAGCAACGAAAAAATCCCGAAAGAAGTAGAGATTTGACTATATAAAATGTTAATGCTTTTACTTCTAATAATAGAAGCCTAATTAAAATGCAAAAACAAGCTGGGAGAAATATTTGCAACAAAATGTGAGAGACACAATGTTATTATTATCCTTTAAGAGTTCATATAGTTTGAGAAGAAAAACAAAAAGATAAATCAGTAAAGGACAGTAACACATAGTTTATATTAAAGGAAGTGCAAAAGGCCAAACTTCATAAGTAAATTTCATGAATGATCATTTTCTACCTATCAAAGAAGCAAACTTCAGTTTCTTTTTAAATGGAATAACTCAAAGCTGCCAATTTGTGGAGAAATAAACATTCTTATTTACTGTCAGGAGACAGAAAACTGATACCACTTTACTAAAAAGAACATTAGCAATATGCATCAAGAACCTTAAAAATGTTCATCAACTTTGATCCATTAATTCCATTTCTGAGAATTCTGCCTGTTGTATGGTTGTTAAATTTAGCAAATAAAGATATAGGGTGCTCACTTAAATCTGAATTTCAGGTATAGAGTGAATACTTTTTAAAAATAAATTTGTCCTCAGCAATGTTTTGGGCTGTTAGTATTAAATTCCAGTGCAATAACCTGCTTTCTCCTCAGTGTGTGTGTGTGTGTGTGTGTGTATGTGTGTGTGTGTGTGTGTGTGTGTGTGTGTACTTTTGCCATTATTGAGTTTTATCACACTAGGTTAAAAATTCTTCTTCAAGCTTTAGAGGGCATTTTATCTGTCAATTCATGCTTATGGAAATAAGCAAAGATTTATGCATAAGGTTTATTCTCAGGAGGGCAGAGAAGTGGCAGAAATAGGTAGGTCCTGTGGCCACTTGACCAGGAACAGAAACTATGGCAGGGTCCTGGGCCATGGCCTGGGTGCCAGAATGGGGACAGGTACCGTGTCCCTGCACAACCCTCCAGCTTAGGGGCAACCTTCACATCTGAGCACTCAGTAGGTGCTCACTGCAGGAATCGCGAGGAGCAGGTAAACGCTTGTCGCATGAATTCGGATGCCAGTGATGCCCAGGGCAGCACAAAGCAAGGCCTGGGAAGAGAGGGAGGACAGGGAACCCGGGGCCGAGGAGGAAGGAACGGACGGAGGCAGTGTGGGGGGTGTGAGGCAGGTGGTGGCAGCGTGCCCCCTCGGCAAAGGGGAGGCAGCCCTGGGAAAGGCTGGTGGCAAGTGGAAGCTGAGAGATGACAGGCTACTGGAGCCAGAGCCTTCTCCCGCCCAGAGAGAGACCACCCCCCGCTGCCCCCCATGCACACCATTCCCATCTCACCTCCTCTCTGGGGAACCTGCACAGCTCTGTCCAGGGCAACGCCAGGACCCGATTCTGTAGTGTTTGAGGCAGGGCCTTCAGCGAGGGGCGGGTGGCCGTTCCGAACCTTCTAGAAAAGGGGACGACACAGGGCTGGACTGATTTTGTGGCGCACGGTTAACGTTAATACTATTTTGCATGAGTTATATGTTCTGAACATGTTTGCCCACTTCTCAGAGGAGTAGGGTAAAGGAAGACATCAAGGGCAGGAAAGGAGAGCGATCCTACCATCTATTGTAACCATATCTTTTCTCCTTCCGCGGGAATGAGGAAATAGAAGAGTTCCTCAAAAGCACTGCCTTACTTGAGAGGGGTCTGACTGAATTTTTATGCCCCTGCTGCTCCCCTGCTCCTCTGGACAACCCAACCCTTCTCTCTGTGGCCCCCCGAGAGCGGGGTTGGCAATGGAGACGGCTGTCATTCATAGCCATGACAGCCATGTTTACCAGCAACTTCTGGGGGACTCTTCCGTCTGCCACCCTCACCATTTCCCAGAATGAGCCGCTCGTCGTCCCCTCGAACCTGCGCTTGGATGGCCTCAGCGGCAGGTGGAGGCATGGCCATGCCGAGGGAGGGCCAAGTGGGAGCCGTCCTCGCAGCCTCCTTTTCCTCACTTCCCACGTGAAAGGTGTCCTCACGTCCCTCCATGTCATCAGCTTGATGTTTCTCCGTTGTCATCCTGCAGTGGTTAAGGTCCCTGTCTTTGGGTCAGAATCCTGGCTCTCTGCCCCTTACTGGGAGTGTGAACTCTGGGGGGTTACTGACCTCTCTAAGTCTCAGTTCCCTATTTATGAAATGGATATAAAAAAATAAGTAAAGATGATGCATGTAAATATCTTAGCACAGGGCTGATACATGGTGCATACGCAGTACTTGGTCGGCATGATAACAAGTCATCACTATTCTCATTATCGCTGCTCTCACAGGCCTTTGTCATCTTGTATGGGAACTATGTCTTGGGCTTCCTTGTCTCTAGTCTCCTCTCCTCAAATCTCCCTTCTAAAGAGCAGCCTGGGTAGCTCACTAGAATATGAACACATGACCATTATCAGTTTCCTGCTTAAACCCTTGAGGGTTACCCATGGAGCAAGCCCCTTAATATTATGGATAGTCTCCAAGTTCAGAATCCTGCCTACATTTCCCATGTCATCTGCCATCCCTTCTGCTTCAATTTTACGGTCAGGGATACTAAATTCTCAGAATCCTGCGTCACCCACATCCCAGCACCTGCTCCAGCACACACATGGTGCTGTTCTTGTGGCCCCTTAGACTTGGAATACTCCAGCCCACCCTTGGAGAACTCTTCTCAATGAAGAACTCTCCACCAAACCAGGGCTGGGTCTCCCTTTCTAGGAATACCTCAATCATGGCATATACCATGCTGCATTTTTTAAAAATGGATTTTATTGATTTTATTTATCTATTTTTAGAGAGAGGGGAAGGGAGGGAGAAAGAGAGGAAGAGAAACATCAGTTGGTTGCCTCCCACATTTACCCTGCCTGGGGACTGAACCTGAAACCCAGGTATGTGCCCCAACTGGGAATCGAACCGGCAACCCCTTGCTCTGCGGAACAATGTCCAACCCACTGAGCCACGCTGTTCCGGGCAGTCCTCCCTTTCTTGATGTTTCTGCAGTACTGACTGATTCTCTCTCTTTCCCCTCAAGCTGCCTCCTTTTGCTTTCCATCTCTGGCTTCTCCTCCTTCTAATTCCTAAACATAGACACTCTCCCTGCTTCCCCCATTTTCATTTCTGTTGCTGAAATATCCTTTTAGATCTCAGTCCCTGTCCCTGTCCTTGTGACAG